AAACAGTATGGCTATGTTGCTCTTTACAACAAAGTCTTTTGTTATCAACGGACTTTACGATAAAATGTCTACCATCTCCATGCAATGGTTTTTGAATGCTGAATTTACTAGGTCTTCCTGTTGCTGATCTATTTCTGGCTAATTCTACACTCTCAATAGGAGTTGCAAAAGGAATAATGCATTCTTGCGTCTGAAATCTAAAAGAGACTTTATATTTCCAGTAGTAAAAAATGGTGATATTTAGTAAGTTTAGATACGATCTCACCTCATATAATTTATCAGTATTGTCAATTTGACTATTGTCAAATGCAAATTCTGCTTCATATTCCTGTACTGCAAACGTGATATCGTTTCTCGTACAACAGGAACAGAAATGTCCTTATCAAAAGACCAATACATACATTTTTTCTTGAGGTAAAGAATGATATCCTGTAAGCAATAATATTCCAATAAATCTTCTCATATAGGCTTCAGATGCAATAAATTCTGGACAATTTTTTTTTCTGAGCGTACATATTTGTCTGTTCTTAATGAGAAGACAGTAAATGTCTAAACCAAAAAGAAAAAATCTGCGCAATAGTTTTACCTCGTATTTTGTCTTTTATAATTTCTCTTCTATCTCTTTCTTCATGTTCTTCCTGAGACATAACTAACAGTTCCTTTTTTATCCACTTCAAGATTTCAGTCTTCTGCTTTTTAAACTTTTTAGTATAATTATAACTGCTTTTAGAAGGCTGAAGCTTACTTCTTACGTGAATTTCAATTTCCCCAGAAGTATCATTTGGTAAAATAGCATTATCATTATTTAAAACATTGCCATTCCTTTCTTCTTCGTCGCTAGCCTCTGCAATTTCTGTGAGAACAACAACAATATCAGTTTCATTCTGGTCATTATTAACATTATCATCATCTGTTTCTTCATCAAAAAATCTTTGAAGGCCTTCTTCTAATGTAAGATACCTCGTTCTAGGCATTTTTAAACAACCAGAACTTGAACCAGAACGAAAGGAATGCGTGAAAAAGGAGATTGACTGCCCGTTTTCTGCTGACGTTGCGTCAGCGCAACACCTGTTTTCCCTTCCTTTCCAACACAAATATAAACATCTGACTGATGTAATGTTCTTATAAACGGTGACCTTGACTAAAAATAGATCACTCATAAAGACGGCGATTCTTTCGTTAAATATTTTCAGCAAAAATACCCGGTCGAAAATTTTGCTTAAAGTATGAGAATAATTATTATAAACAAAATGATTTTTGAAGGCAAATATTTTTTTACAGAAATAATCTTCATAATATTCACTACACAAAATCATCTGCTGGTATAAAATATCTTAGGTAGTTATATTTATTACGCATTTATTTTGACCGTTGCGTCAACGCAACACCAGCGGCTAATGAGTTAAAAGGGATTCAGAAGAGATTTTTTCGAGGCGTCTGTACTTACGTATGTATGAATGTATCTCGCATAACTCAAAAACGAGTAACTTCAGAATGTTGAAATTTTGTATATAGGACTGCTATAGCATGTAGTTGCCCACCTCCTTTATGGTGGCAATCAGCCGCACCAAAAGTATGTAAATATATATATATATATATATATATATATATATGCTTTAAAATAATTGAATTATGTTGTTCTTATCTTCCGGTTGATGTTCTTATGCCTTTAGTTAACGTCAACGCAATAGTTGTAGAATTATCATCAATTTAAATGTTGTTTAAGTGCGGCTAAGCCTAATTGTTTTACCATAGCAGCTATATTTGTTTACATTTGAAACTTAGCAGAATAGTGGATTTGTTACTAGTCTAGAGAAACTAAGCTTCGCATCAAGAAGGATGACGTCATCTTTTATTACTGCGAATTAAATCATGCTTAATCCATTCTGGAATTACCATATAAATTATTAAAATTATCCCATATATTGACTCAGCATAGCATCCACAACAAATGAAGTCAGTTTCTACACCTTCAGTGTCTTTTTGCCGAGTGAGACCAAAAGTAAACTTTCATTTTTGTGCACCGAAAAACTTGTTTTCTTGCCCGCTGGCCGAAATGCTTGCTTTTGCGTAGAAACTCTAATTTTAATTGTAAAAATTGTTCTTTATAAATTGTTTTAACTGTATTTATGTTTATATTTTCATTTTTTAATAATGATATTTTGAGGTTTCATGTATTTTTGCCTTGTCAAGAAATGAGAACTGAATTAATTGAATGAGAAATATATCTCTAACGAAATTCGAGGAAATTAGTTTAAACGAAATGCAGGAAAAAATGCATATAATTTAATATTCCGTAAGTAGTAACCCACGGTATACACAATCCAAATGAAATCAATTTGCAGATGAAGGCTTCTTTTATAGAATTTGTCTCAGACGAAAATGCAACACAAGAAATACTTTGCCTCTTTCGAATGGTACTAAATCTCCAGAGTGAAGTCTTATGTCAATCTGTATAGTCTGAAAATGTTGACGGATAACTGGCAAGTAAAAGGGCCGGGGGTAATGAGCGTTTATGATGTCTCCGTCATTTCCTTCTACGGTGACAATTTTTAACAACGGGGCTTGTACATCTCCCACAATTTGAGGTTCTACGAGATCGCAATACACATACATGACAGGAAAAGATACTTTGGGATCGGCTACAAAAGGACTTTGTTCCAATCCTTTGTAAACACCCGGCTCGAACCCTAGAAGCTCCGCTAATCCTTCGTGAAGAATGACTTTGCAGTTTTCGTCGGTCTTAATGGTCACTTTTTTCGTAACAGGATGATAACTGAATTCAATCTTATTTTTATGGGAAGGTATTTTCATGGCTTTTAATAAATCTGGTATCGTTTCATAACATCCTGGAGGCACTCTTCGACCTTCCAATTTTCCATCACCCAAATCAAATCCAAATAAATTATTGTCTTTTCGGACGTTATACCATGTGTGAGGGTAAATAAAGTCCACAAGAGATAACTCCCACTGACTATTTAAATCCATCGGAGTAGGAAGCTGAGTGGTAAATTGTGATATTTTGTTGTCTGGAAAAAAACGCATGGAGCTGTCGCTGATCAGTGTGATAAAGAAAGACATGTTTCGTTCAAATGACAGATAAGCAGAATGTACGGGCCTTTTATACCCTTCTCACATCCTCCACCCAAGCATTGAAGCTTTCGGGGTACCCCTGAAATTTCACAAAATATTCTATTTTCCCGCGACGTTTCCTCTTTCTTAAAACTTTTTCTACAGGATAATAACCAGAGTCCGAAACCTTTTGAAGTTCTTGTTTGTAAAACGTTCCTTGTATAACTTCTCCTGCAAGATCTTTCAGTTTATAGACAACAGGAATTCGTCGAATAATTTTATAGATTGTAAAAATTTCTCGTGTCCAATTTTGTTCGTATCCTTTCTCAAAGAGCATTTTTTTCTCGGCTGATGCGTACCGTATCTCCAATCTTTAAATCTGAAGAAACAGGCACTTTTGTACTGGTTGCTGACCGTACAATGTTTTCCAAATTTTTTCTTGATTTTGTAGCGTAACGGATACAGGTTCTGTCTTAATACTACGATGCCATGTATGGTTATAACTGGATATCAATTTATCAATCACATCAATGTACTTTCGTGTATTCATTTCGGTTGCTTTACTTTTCAGACGGAAAAGTATTTCCACATTTTTGTTTTTAGAGTTCGATTAAATCGTTCTACGACAGAAGCTTTGGTTGTATTATGTGTCGTGAAAAAGCAAACGTTTCTCTTTTTCAAAAAAATTTTGAACTTGTTTATTGGTAAACTCTTTCCCTGCATCTGTTTGTAATGATTCAAGTGTACGTTCCGAAAATATCTTTTCGAAAGCGGATTGGATGGACACAGATGTTTTATCTTTGAGAGGGATAGCCCAAGCGTATTTGGAAAGGATATCTATACAGGTCAGCAAATATTTATATCCATCATTAAAAGAGGCCAGGGATTGCATATCCACTAAATCAGATTGAAATTGCTCGTTTAAGCCTCCTACGATGACTCTGTTCCTGGGAAACGTGTGCCTCAAAGGCTTGTGCAAAGTATAAGAATCCTTGGTTTGCAACCATTTCTGGATGTCTTTTGTTTTTACGCGACCTTTTAAAGCACGATGCAAAGCAGCAACACCCCCGAAACTTGCGGGGACCTGTGGATCCCGATAGGTCTGAGACAGAGCTGCGTTCATTGCAACAGTTGTTATGATCTAAGCGTACACTGATATTCATTTATATATGTTTGACTAGAAATGGGAAATAATGCCAGAGTTTCACGTATATTAAGATTCTAGAAATAGGTCTAAAAACAAGAGAGAAAAATGAATGTTACTTAACATCTCAAAGGCTGAATAATGAATGATACATGTTTAAGAATAACAACACTATTTTATACTCTATAAAAGTCAACAGGTATTTTGAAAATAATTTATGTGAGTAATCATTACAGATTAATTCTTTTAAATAATGTCTGAACCTGGAGAGTCATGAGGCCATTGTAAAATAAAAATAACATTTTTTTATTGAACATCCTAATTAATTTACAAGATATTCATAGTATTCAATACCTAAGACACCATGCTGTTCTAAGTTGGTAGTACAAAATGTGTTTCTTACTTCATCGAGTACATGGTTTAAACACACAGATTTTAAAAAGTCCTTGGTAATGTAGTGAGCAGGTTTCAGTAACATTAAATAGGATTCTTCACCCCAAATATTTCCGTAAAATTGTCTGGCGATGTCAACAGCATTGAATCTCAGAGCAATGGCATTCACAGTTTCTGTCTTATGAACAAGTTCTTCACAGTCTATGCGCTGGGGATATTTTAGTTCTTCTTGTTGGTTAAGAAGCTCTTCAAGCGACATCTTTAGAATGGTTTCGAGGCGTGCTCTTCCCATAGAAATGTCAAAAGGATTCTGGAAGGTTTTTCCTCTTAACAGGTTCGTCGGATACGCTTTCGTAGGCTTCACAAAAGTTCATATTTTGATAAACGAGGTTGGTGACAATGTCACTGATACGGCTAAAGTTGGTCATCAGTTCTTCCCATTGCGCAGTCGTAATGCTGAGGCTACATTTTGCCTCTCCTGTCGAAGTTGCTTCAAAGTAAAGTAAGAATCTTTATACGTGACCACAAAATTCTTGGGCAATTCCAGATTCAGTGTCAGCAGGTCTGGTTCCTCCACTGTCATGTTGGTTGCGAGAACATTCAAACACCATGGCTCAAAGTTCACTCCACGTCTTGTCTTGTCGGATAGTCTTGTCGGATAGTACGATTTGCCATATTTAGCATACTCTCGAATGTGCACAGTAACTTTTCCCTTGTAAATGCTGGGTCCCACAAAGACATTGTTTCCCATGTAAGTAAGCTCCTCTGGAATAGTGTCTTCAGTAAAAAGTCCTTTGCGCTGAAAGAAAAAAAATTGTCAGTCATTTGGTAGACAAAAAACATACACAAAAATGAGGTAAGATAAACTTTAACATACGAACCTGTTTTACAAATACGTACTTTTTTCTCGAAATGGCTTGTTTCTTCTGCCTTCCTTTTGGTGCAAGGGATATCTCGCGTTCGAAAAAGATTGCAGTCCTCCACTTTATCATTCAAAGGCATGGATTCTTTCTCAGGCAGGTTTTCCGTCTGAAAAGTAAAGGCAAATTAAGCACACATTGCAAATTCAAAAATAAACTTTCCTATAGATTGAAACTCTAAAAACAGTATGTTTTTGAAAAAAAAAAAACTTAACTTACCTCTGCAGCGATGTGGTTTCGTGGCTGTCCAGGATTCATGTTTAAAACGATGAAGAAACAAAAATCTGATGAAATTAACAATGATAGTCCAAGCAAAATATGTGCGTACACTCAAGGCGACAGCAGGAAAGAAATGCGGAACGTTGCTCGGGATAGCCTTATATCGGGCAGGAACTCTTTATTTCATCTGAACGGTGATTGGTTAAGAAACGGTGAGGTCATATTTCAAAGAATCTGATTGGTTCACAGAAAAGTATCCATACACCTCAGCGGAGGCATACAAAGGTGTGATACGGCAGACGCCATTTTGTAAAGCAACATGTCGCAACAAGAAATAGATGATGTCATTCCAAACACGTGGTTCAAGAGTTCGTTGCCACAAACATAAAAAATAGTGTCGTTGCCACAAAAAATAAAAAACTTTGAAAAGATCGTTGACACACCATAAAAACGAAACTTTGATGATGTCATTCCGTCTACGTCATTCCTTCCATCTACGTCACTTCCGGTTGTCACGTGATTCAAGATGGCGGCGACCACGCCCCTTTTCTGTGACGTCACTTCCGCCGGCCGGTTACCGTGGGTTACTACTTCCACACAAGGAAGTCATGTTGTGTAAAAATCTGATTTTTTAATTTTAAAATTTGAGTTCAGTTGAAAGCATAGTCGAATTAAAGCAAAGTTTCAGAGTTATTCGAAATTGCTGCCCTACTACTTTAGTTGGTGCAAAAACATCATGGACCTCAGAAACTCCCTCTTTATGAGTACGGTTGTGGCAATCGCGAGGTACTTTAATCCTTCAGAAGAGTATCTTCTTGGTGAGACGGGTGTCCTGATCCCAGCTATTCTTTTATTCAGTTCTTAACTGCTTTTCAATTTTTATGTCCCTTGTAATTTCCTTTTCGAAGGAAGGAGCTCACAGTGTGTCACATTGTTATAACTCTTTCGTCTCTGGCTTACAATGGTAAGAAATCTGTCTACGCGTTCTTCGTGCGTGCAGCCCTGTACGGATGAAAAGGTTAGTTCTGGTAACTAAAGAACTAGATACTGTCCCTGGCACTCCGCTTTGGCCCTTGGCTATATAATGGTGTTAGACACCAGGCTGACTGAGTTACTAGAGCCTAACTCTCGTAGAAAACAATTTAAAATTTCGAAATAGATTGCTAGTTATAAAAGTCTTTTGTAAAAATCACTTGCCTATCTTCTAAAGTGACAACTGAAGTGTGTGTAGAAACCACACAGGAGAAGGGTTAAAAGTACCCTTTATTAAACTATTTAAAATTCACAATGCTTCGACTTGACGCTAACACACTACACCTCACTCGGGGGTAACTCAAATAATAAGAACTAAAGTAAAAATTCGAAGATATTAACAAGTAGTAGAAATTCCTCTACAGGGCTCAGATACTCCTGTTACTTAAAACTGCGTCGAAATCTAGTGGCAGCAAACAGCTGTTATGCTATGTTAACCAGCAATAAATGCAGAAATAGAAACTCATGCTACAGAGATAACGGCGCTTGCCCAAACTCTCTAATTTCCCCTTCTAGAATTCGGTATTTAAACCTTTTCTCCTCAAGGTAGAATTTGTATGACTTCACGCGCGCTACCAAATTTAAATACTCTGCCATTAACAATTAGGGGAATGAAGACTTATAAGAAAGAACATATAACTTAAACTAAATTCGTTATTTAAAATAAATATAAATCTCTACACGTTTGGGATTAAATAAATAGTCAAGACACAAGGCGCGTACGTGTAACTCCTATCAGCAGAAACAGGAAAATAAATTACTGTAAGTAAATGCTAATCAGATGGTGACACAAACGTTACGAACATAAACAATGCACTTAAAAATTGGGAACAGGATTTACAAACAAAGAATATGCATTTTATATAAGCAGTTAGCCATTCAATATAACCATGGGCCTTTTGATGTTATCTGGGTTGTTGAAGTTGTAGTTATAGATTCCAATTCCAAGATCATTAATCCCGCTCTAGCGTTTATGAAAATCTTTTGCCAGTTGACAATAATATGTCTTTAACTGGACAGTTTTCAGCTCTGCATGTATTCTGTTGTTGCGAATATACAAGGGGGTATCTGTAATTTTCAGAAGAGCACAGTTCTGGGCAATTAAGAGTTGCTTATGATATCTTTTAAAGAAATAAACCCAGACTGGATAAGTATAGCATTGCATGGGGCTCAGAATGGATTTATAAATGACTATTTTATCATTTATAGACAGAACGCTATTTAGAACAATTAAGAGGTCCGAGCAGTCAAGCGATTTAGCTTTACGCGCTCGAAACCTCAGGATAATTGATGCAATCTGTGGGGTCCATGAGACAGAATTAGTGAGAACCATCCCAACATTAAGGGACTTACTTAATCCAGGGCAGAGTAGTTTTATAAAACTTGAGATTTTTTGTTATTTTCTTCTTATTTGTGACTAAAATAGCCACACAGCATTTAATTTTAATTTGAAATTTTGGCATTTGCTTCAGCTCAAACGAAAGGCATTTAGCAGTGTCCACTGATATCAATCTGCTGGTGTCTAGTCCTCAATGCCAGTGGCTTGTGGATAAGCGATAGGGAGATCGCTTATCGACAAGTCCTGCTTTCGAGGCAGCAGATTACAATAAGCGAATAGACCCGGTTAACTGTGGAGCAGGAATCTGCGTCACCTTGTTTGGCTTCGCGGTGGGGTGCCACCAGGTTCGACTTTTTATTCGTATATCAAATATGACTCTTACTCAATATCAGCAATAAAAATGGAAATTAGAAAAAAATAAGAATGGATGAAGTAAAAGAATATTAAACTGTGAGTAAAAGAATATTAAACTGCGATCCAAGATTCATATTTGTTGTTAGTGAGTTCTGATTTTCGTAAAATATCACCATTTCTGATTCATAAGTGTAAAATCATATCTTGGTGATTTGAAACCTGTTAAAATACTTCGATCTGATGTTTTGCTATCAGACACGATATGTATTGCTCAATTGGCAGCTCTTCTTGGAATGTTGGGACATGTTAATGTTAAAAGCCTCAGCACATAAGAGTTTGAATCACTCCCCCTGATGCGATTTACAAGTATGATTATTTGCCGACTCTTTCATAAAAGAACTAATCTAAATTTTCTGACCAAAAGATCTGTGCTGCAAGATGAATCAAGATGGGAAATGAAGGTAAGTTAATACGCACAAGACACATTATCTTGACCTTCAGCCCACTAACACTACTATAACACTACTATAAAACATATTATCACAGCTCATAGTTCTGGGACACAACACCTGTGATAGACAGGTGTTGATATTATTCAATCTGCACCGCGCCACTATGCATAAATTTCAAAGGAGAGCGCACAGCACGTTTTAGGACATGCTCATTCAGAGTAGTAAAGTGACAAGAAATTTGTCGTACTCGAAAGCACGAAAATTAGCAACTAGAGCCCAGCTCCGACCTAATATATTCTTTCTCTTTGTAACAAAATGTATAAAATTAGTAGCTACTCAAACTAGCATTAGTATACAAAAGAACTATGACTAATTTACAAGAACCAAACAGTAACATATCTTATGCCACCGAAGAAAATTGTAAAGAGAAAACCAAAAATAAGGCCGTCAAAAAATAAGTTAAAGAAACAATAACAGGATAAACAGAAGAATAAAACTATCGAATCTTTGACAACCAGAGCAGAAGCTCTTTTGGTGGCATAAAATCTGATATAATTGACTCAGTGAAGGTAGAAGAGAGAATTTCTGCCCCGAAACAATCTTTTTCCGAGAAAAATAGCGAGGCAGCATATACAGAATAAACAGCTTGGTCAATTAGGTACTCTAATTTCATGAACTTGTCGCAGTTCCTTCCCTCCCCCCAATTTTTATAAATACCAAACACCTGAGTGATGTAAATCATTCTATCTGCATCGAATGCGGAAAGCATAGCTCTATCCAAACCAACTACTGAAGCTTTCCATGATCTGAAAGGGTAATTTAACTGGTGAACCTGCTAGTGGAGGCATCAGATTATTCACCTCATTTGACTATCCGTCTGATGCCCTTACTTTGACTACAAGTCTTCAGTCTGTTGTAGTACTTTCTGTATCGGAAAACTAATTATGTTTGTTCAGCAACACTTGGATGCTGTAGTAAGAGCAGCTGATAAACCTTTCAAAACTATGGGTGATGTCAGTGGTCACAATCCATAAGAGGAAAGTAAGGAGAAAAATTTAAGCAGAACCCAAATCGAGCAAGTAATTGGTGGTCTTTATTTACTTAATCAAAAACAATAAACTCACTTACACCAAACTTCAAAGATTTTCACGCTGGTGATTATTTTCAAAAAGAAAGAATAACTTCTATTTCGATACACGCGTTGCAATTTGAATAGAACATTTCTCAGTCCTAGCGGAGCTCCCGAAAGAAATGATGATGATGATTGAATAATTTTTAATAATTATAAGGTTCCGACCTTAAAGATACAGCTATACGTGTGGAACCTTGAGAACTGATAGTCGAATAATCGCTTTAGCTCAGGAAACAGAAACGTAAACTCAAGAAGACTCAATTACCCTTTATTCCTCGAAATAAAGATTAACAGATGGCCCTTTCTCAGGACGTACAGAAAAGCCTCCACTTGGGCTTGAACTCGAGTACTAAGCAAATAAAATTTAACTAATGCTTAACTAAAAAGATATAGCCGAAGCTATCAAAATTCTACCGGAGTTGGCCCCTAAATGTTAACTAAACAGCGAAGTTTAATACGAAGCGAAGCTGAAATACGGCCGAGCGTAGTCATAGCTTAGACAGAGTGTAGCCGAAAGGCGAACGCGCACTAGTTAGAATCTCTGGCTCTCTAACAAAGTCAATGGAACTTCGACTTAAGTACTGCTCTTCCTTCATTTGCATTTAACAGCGATTCTAAACACCACTCTAGCAGGAAATTTGTAAGCTGAAATTAGAAGGGCTAGGAAAGTAACTTTAATTAAAGATAACTGTTAAACACTTAAGGTAAACCTTACCCCTGCCAGAATTAAAATACTCGAAGCATAAGCTCTCAAAACGATCTTGTTTAAGAGTTTGAATTCTCAAAAACTCCTTAAAATTGAAAGTAAAAACTTCCTAACACTGTACATTAAACAATTTGAAACTTTAAACTTTTCTGTTTAGGGCCATTTTACACAAAATCTAAACCTAGACTAAAACTAGGATACAAATTTACAATTTTTTTTTCCTTTTGGCTGGACATACAACAGCTTCTTCTTGTCTGATCAAGAATTTTTGACTCTTGGTCCTTCCAAATTATCTGGAAAGAAATGGTGTTAGTCAAACTTTTACAAACATTAGCAATTCTTTATAATTACCAAAGGAAAAATGGTTCGAGTTATGTTCATCTGATTTGTGAGTAAATCGGAGTTTTCATGATAAACATTTTCATACGTTTATAACTCATATAAGCAAAATAACCAGGGACCGGATTAAGACTTTGAGTGGCCGTAAGCATTTAAAGAATTGCTCCTACGTTTGTTTACTCCAGTAATTTCCCTATTTCTTCTCTCTTGATAGTAATTTAACTGCCGACAATGAATAAAAAATAAATAAATAAATAAAAATAAAAAAATAAATAAATAAAAAAATAAATTGTG